AAATGTAACATTTGGGCAGGAAAACAAAAATTCCTGTCCTCACTTAGGTCCATGGGCACAGGCCTGGGGGTGGAGCCCTAGCCAGGGACCACACCCTTTCCCGCTTCTGTATCATTTAGAGGGACCATGCCCTTCCCTTCCCAGCACTTCTCTTCTATATCAGTTATATGTGTGTTCACAGAAACAGATACACCCATAAACACATCACCAAGTAGAGAGAGTAGTAATTATGACCTGCTTAGGTCTTAAGTGAACTAAGTGATCCAGCATGTGTCAACCCCAACTATCCCCCTAATTCCATCTCTGGACTCTGTCCACACCGATTTGTCACCATTTCTCTGTTACAATCTTCTCCCCAAGATTTGGCTCAAATTTATTTTGGGAACCACTCTCCATTCTCTAGTAAATTCAGCCATCAGCTTCTCTGTAAGCGCATGTTGCACTTTGAGCAATTTTTAAAAATACCATCATCAGATCACATTGATGTTTTTAAACATTAATATTCCTCATTGGACTATGAACTTTCTGCAGTCAGAGTACACATTCTATAGCCTACAATAGGAATGCAATCAATATTTGTTGAATAAACAAATAATAAAATAATAATTCTTGCTGGAGTCAATACGTTTAAATTTGAAAATGAAAAGCAAGGATATAGTGACTCACCAGACAGAAAATTGGTGTTCCTCCAGTTCCTCCAAGTAAGATATGTCCTGTGAATAATCTTCAGCTTCTCCAGTTCTCAAAACAGTTGATTTTTCTTTCACAGAATGATCCGTCAGGCTATCTCCCTTGTCAAATAAATTAACAAATACGGAAAAAATGAAGTATTTTATTAATAGGAGATTGAAAGTTCACCTAGTTTCAGTGACATTTTCCCCAGAATGACTTATAGAATCATTTGATCATGAAGAAGCATCGTTAGGCATGGGTTTTGCATTGAAATTATTGTTTTATGCTCTAGATACTCTCCCTAAATTTTTATCTCTGTCGAGGCAGAGACTATGACATGTTCACTTTTGTCTTATTTCACATGGGACAGCTTATGTAAATGTTGTCAGAATGGAAAGACAAACATAATGATGGTCACAGTATTTGTACTGAATCAGGACTTTTGGATGCAAGTGAAATAAATGCAACTTGAGCTAGCTCTCAACAGAGTAATTTGAAGGGAGATTTGAACAACAAGTCTATGGAGAAGGAAAAGAGAAGGAAATTCTGCTGAATTTCAAGAACACAAGAATCGAGGACTTGAAGGCTCCCAGGACTCTCTTTGCCTCTGTTATGTGCTCTGGCAGGTTACTTCATTGTAGCATTGTCACTAATGGCTCCTGAGTCCCCCAGCCTGTGATTCTCAACAGCATCCATTCAAGCATAGGAATTGCATGTTGTCTATGGAGCTCCTTCCTAGAACTTGAAAAATGATGTAACCTGTGATGATGGGTCCAGAAGGCAAACTGAGCCCTGTGGCTCAACTAAGGGTTCTTGGGGCCCTGCTATGGCAGGGAAGTGGAAGGGGGAGCAGCTAACCTAGCAGGGCTCTTCCTTCCTCTCCCACCCTACAAGCTCGGTTTTTACCTGTTTTATTTATTGGGGTCTCCTGCTAAGCTTTTACTATAAATGGTACTGACATGGTTGGGATGTTTGTCCACTCCAAACATCATATTGAAATGTAATCCCCAGTGTTGAAGGTGGGGCACAGTGGGGAGGTGCTGGGATCAAGGTGGAGGATCCCTCATGGCTGGCTTAGTGTTGTCCTCAAGATAGTGAGTTCTTGTGAGATCTGGTTGATTAAAAGTATGTGGCACCTCTCTTATCTGTCTCATGGTCCTGCTCTCACCATTTGATGTGCCAGCTCCCACTTTGCTTTCTGCCACGACTGTAAGGTTCCTGAGGTCTTCACCAGAAGCACATGCTGCAGCTATGCTGATACAGTCTGCACAAGCATGAGCCAATTAAGCCTCTTTCCTTTATAAATTCCCCAGACTCAGGTATTTCTTTATAGCAATGCAAGAATGGCCTAACCCATGTGCTGATAAGGAGTTTGAAAATCGTTAGTCTAGAGAAGCAGAAAATCAGGCATGACTTGCATTTATAAGATAGTTTTGTTAAAACTCCTCTTCCCTTTTCTTTAGACCCTTGTCAAACATTTTAAATGCTTATTTGTAAGAGGTCAGTTTGGTTGAAATTCCTTAATATTAGCCCACACAAGTTTTAGCACAACTTCGTAGTTGGAATAGCTTGAAATCGCAAAATGTTGCTTTGGGTTGACAGATTGTTGTAGCCAGGAAAACCTAAGCATGAAACTCAGGTGAATGAGATGTGTCGTCAAATCCCCAGTGAACTCAACAAGTTTCATTTCCTTTATTATAAAATTGATCAATTTGATTACCTTAAGAAGAAAATCCAGTTATGACAGATATCAATTTAAAGTAAATGCCTTTCATTGTGGTCTTTTATTTTAGCTTCTTCTATAGCATAGAAGTATTTTTGAGTAGACTATTCAATGTTGATAGTTTTAATTACTCCATCCCTAAGTAAATTAAAGAGTATCAAGATTCTTGAAAAAATATGAGATCTTTGAATTGTCCCAACTAAATATATATTTGATTGGCACACCTTGCCAGATTGCTGGAAAAAAAGCCTTTGTAACTTTAAAATTTCAATTTGATGGCATTTCCTGATGAGTTGCTTGGATACTTTATTCAATCTCATTCAATAGAAGGTTGAAATGGCTACCAAGAACTATACCATAAATTTGGTTTACCCACCAAAGCTGCTGATTTGATAAAGTAAAGGTTTTTCATGATACAGTGCATAAATTGCTTTCTTTCTGGTTTCTCTATGAATATCTACATAGTTTCTTCAAACTAAATTCATGGCAGAAATGGGATGTAGTATATTTCTTTGTCTTCCACACACTTCACGTGGTTATAAGCATATGGTAGATCTCAAGAAACAGCAATTAGAGGCCATTTTATTAAGTAATTACATTATAATAACAGCAACAGTGGACATTACCTCTAGTTGCCAAGTCATAAAGAAAAACATCGGTGAATACTAACTATTGCAAACATTTCTTGAACTTTTATATTTCCTTTAAGAAATATTTAAATTAAGGCACTAAAAATTCCTTCAGATGGATTTTTGGGAAGATATAAAGTCATGGAAACTAGTTCATCTCCAAAGAACTGATTCAAAAGAGGAACAAAAATACAAAGAAATAACTTCTGATTCCAAAACAAAAGGTAAGTGTGTGCAGAGAAATTCCCAGGTAAGTACCAGGATGTATGAAGCCTGTTCACATGGAAGCACTTTCATAATATAAACAGTCTTCCAAACACAAATGTATATCTTAAATATATGCCTGAAAAACAATGCCTGAACCATATTGTCAGCACTCAGAAGACAGAAACTAGATTTTCTGCCTCATTACAACTATAAATCCTGTCTGTATTCTGAACCCTAAGAACATCATCATTAATTTTTTTTCAACAGCAATGTCTTTAAAGAGATTAATATCTATACTTTAAAATAGAAATTGGTGGTACAAATTTATTCCAAAGCATCATATTTTATATGTTGTGTGTATTGTTACTCATATACTGACCTGCCACAGAAATCAAAAGCAAATCTTTAAATATAAGTTGCTAAAATTTAGAATCTGATTTTCAAACTGGAGGACTAAAAATCTGGTTTGTGAATATTGGTGGTCAGATACAACACTGGTCACGAAACAATGAATGAAGCTTCTTCCAA